CTGTGCTCTGTTTGCACATAAAGATTATTAAGCAGTTGTAATGAGATCTGGTCCAAATTTTTATTACAATAGTCAGCTCCGATTTTATGAAGTCAGTATACACAATAAGACAGCATCAATTTAGTCAGCAAAGACATTAAATTATTTATTTTGATGAGGTAAGACTATTTTCTTTCAAAGCTAAAAGGTAGTTTATTATGACACAGTTGAATTGTTTTATGCTCATGTCATTACCTTATTATAACATTAGTGTATATGAATCCAAACAAGATGGAGAACATCAAGGCTTTGATCTTACCAACATCACATTTCCCTTCTCTTTTTCTGCCTTTGATAACATCTGTTTTGATGCTCAGCGTAATTTTTTTAGATATTTCTATGCAGAAATTTTGAAATTTTAAAACCTTGCTCTGATTTCGGGATGAAAGAAAACACCAGAAATTAGTATTTCCAGAGAAACACTGATTCTGAGTTCTGACAGGCTCTAGTGAATTTGAAAATTGATGATCCTTTAGCTCAGAGATCAGCTCATCCGTTTCTCTCTGGAGAGAGAAAACTGCAACAAAACTTCAATAACATGGGGTCTACACCCTAGCTTCTTTGTTAGACATGTATCTATAATTGAAAACTCTCAAGATAATTCAGTTTTTCCTTTTATGCATTGTTAGCTGGTCCCACAAAGCCATCCATCCGGTCCTCTGCTCAGGTATGGTGGCCTTCTATCCAAGCATTGCAAAAGGATTCAAGTTCTGTGACAATAAATCTAAACTGAAAAATGACACTTTTTTTTTTTTTGAACTGAGCACTATTGATCTCCCTTTTAAAAAATCCACTCTTCCCAGCTTTTAAATTTTGTAGCTGATCTGTGTGATCACATCTCTGTGGATGGATTCACTCTCCCAGAGCAGAGACAAATTGAGTGTGTGGTTGCCTGCTATGTGGCACCTATATCATTGTTTATCCTCATTCTACATTTCTTTTATGGGAAAATGTTAGAGAAGGAAGGAACGTTAGGAAGATCTTAATTGCTAGAAGCACTTACTAAACTCTTCTTTTGGATTCATATAAGTGACCACAGTACATGTAGAAACTAGCCTCATTTACTGCACACTGTCTACTTTTATGTCTTTGGGAGCCATTTCTTCCTGAAGAATGTATACCTAGAGTACATTTTCAGAGGCTTTTATCCTACAGGACCAAGTAGAGTTTTCTACCTCAGCCATTTTCCATAGAATAACACAAACCAGATTTGACAAAATCTGCAGAAATTAATGAGTTTTGCAGTCTCAGCATCTTGGTTAAAAATGAAAATTATGAAAAAATCTGAGTGCTTTGTCACTTGAAATAAAAATGGCATTTCTTTCCTACAGCCTCAGTTTTACTTCTAAGCCAAAAGATCTAAAATGCTCAAATACACAAACAATATTTATGCCAGGTCAAATGAAGCAATCTGATCCAAGAGTCCTTTTGGACTTCTTGATTTGCCAAATCTTTGTGGGTCAATTTAAATTATTCTGTTTATTTTCTTGAATTGACCACAAACAAACATGAGTTAAACATTTATTCACATAGTTTTAGTTGAAAATTATCCTAAAATATAGAGCGTTTTGTCCTGAGAGTGAATTGCCTCCAGTTCCAGATACATTCCTTCTTGGCTATCTTCCCCAAAAGATTTGATTTTGCCTTCCCAGTCTAAGTTTTATTTCCCTTGTGTGCACTATTTGATAAAATGCCAGCAAACATACTTGTAGGAGATCAGCAATACACCAAAGATTATTTTCTTGCTGTGTTAGTTGGATTCTTAAGCTGCTTGTGGCTTTTTTGATGTTGAAGTAGATTTTATTCTACTATCTGTCTGGGATATATCACTCCTACAACTTGAGTGCCAGAAGCTGTGTGCACAGACGAGGTTAAAGCATAATTATCATTGTATGTATAAGGAGTTTTATCTGATGCTCTTCCCCTAGTTAGGCTTATTATTTCTGGACAAAAATCTAACCAAACTAATTACTGATGTGACAATCCAACACTGTATGTAACATGTACTTAATTTATCTGTGGAACTTTCGTTTTAGGTGTAAAATTCAAATATTAAACACATTTTCTTAGACAGGTCCCCTGAGAAGTATACGTCTGGGAACATGGTAGTACTTGTGCAGATGCCAGAACTGAAGCCCTGGCTGGGTATGGTGTAGCACAGCAGGGCAGGTTTGTGCTGGCTCCACGAGCAGAGCTCAGGCATTTCTGCAGTCCAAATGAGTCCATTAGCCTCTGCTCACGCTCAGAAGCCCTCAGCTAATACTGCTTTGCTACACAATGCTTTATTTTGAGCTATTGCACACTATTGTATTTTTCTCAGAGAGTATCTAGGGTGCAGTGATTAGGAGATGTTTTCTGCTCCCTTGTAAGGCAAAGCTGGGGGAGGTAAATGAATTGACTGGTTGCAGAACAATATCCTTCTCAGCTCCTCTGGCCTTTCTAAGAAGGAGAGAAAGGTTTGCTCATTTCATCCACAGTTCCCTCCTTAACGTCTCTGTGTAATTGTGAATAGCTGCAGTTTGTCAAAAGCCACAGGTGTCAGTGCAGGCAGTAGCTCAGGTATTAAGTTGAAGGAACATTACATTAGCTTTTTAGCCAATAAACATGGCTGTAGGGGGGACCATCTGGAATAAATCTGCCAGGCAAACATTTCACAGAAACCCAGCAAGCAGCTCTACAGATTGTATTTGTGTGGTACTTCATTAGAAAATAAACTTATATCTTCCATCTCAAGCACAAAGCCAAACAGTACTAAACCAGATCTCCGGTAGTTAATTCAACGGTCTCCACTAAACGACACATTTGTAAGAGTTCTGTGAATCACTGGAAGGAAAAGGTAGCAAAAACTCTAGTGGCTGCAGTTATGTGTTGGCACAGCCAAAACAACTGCCTCTGAGTTAACGTAGAAATGTATCTTTCTCTCGGCTTGCGGCTGCAAAAACCTGCTTTGATAACATTTCTAATATCAGCTAATGATTCAGTATGCAGAGAGAGCAAATCAGGCATCAGCAAACTGGAATAAACCAGTCAGCTTTAGCCTGCTTCTGAAACTTTGTACTTTTCTATGTTTATATTTTTCTCAATTAGAGATTCACAGCAGGAGCCATAAAATTCATCATCACTTAGATTTATTCCTGCCAAGGGTTTGCTGAACACGCTAACCTATAGCATAGAAACGTTACACCAGGCTAGTATTGATGCTTTAAGGATTAACCTCCCACTCTCTTCCTCCTTTACGGCCATTTCTGTGTTCAGAGGATGCCACAGGGCATACAGTCAGAACTGTAAAGATGGACAAAGTCCACCCCTGAAGCCACAGGAGCAGAAAGTGCTGCAGTTTCCCACTGCAGACCCTGAGCAGCTCCGCTCAACTGATGGACACCTCTACAAACCCTGGCATATCAGCTAGTGGAGCTCACTGCATGCCTGCCCAGCAGTGGGAGCAAACCCAGGACTTCACAGAGCTCCTCCATATTCAGGCTCCTGGGAGAGCCATGGCAATGCACAGGGAATGTGTTTCTCAGTCAGCTGAGGAATCGGCAGTGGTAAGCGTACCAGCACAGTCAACAAATACATGGCTCACGGGAAATGCATATTTTATGTCAGAACAAATGGCATTTCTACAACCAATTTGCATGAGTACACTGGGAAACAGATTACTTGTTATAAAAGCACCTGCTACTAGAAATAGGGTATTTTCAGACTGATCGTATTTGCCTGTTTTCTCTAGCAGAAAGTTTTAGCAAGTGGTAAAGTAATTACAATAATATGACTAGTTGCAGAACATTCAAACAAACTTCCATTTGCAAAGTGTTGCTCAGATAAGTAAGTAATGGAATTAGGTACAAATGCAGGATTAAATCTGATCACTTTTAGCTAGTTTAATGCCACCTGATCTTTTCTTCAGAAAAAGAAAAAGCACTAATATGGCTATGAAGCAAAATACCTCATTTAGCACAGCTCTCCCTAACTAGCCCTGCTAAGAAACCATCAGATAGAGCAGAACACCACACATATGCACCTAGTCAGCTCTGGGTTTTCAGTTCAGGTATCTTGATGCAGTGGCAGATTATTCTGTAGAGACACAGCATACACCATATTATGCTTATTGGCCTGCTTACACCATAATTAATTAGGGAGCTGTTTTGAAGACCAAGGCTTTCAGATATATATAGTGATGACAATTAAAACACTGGCATTTGTTAACAGTTACTTCACCCCAGGCACTACCTAACGAGCCACAGTCTGCTGCATACATGGAACTGAAATAACCATGGTAACTCTGGGTATATAGAGACATTTTAATGAACATTACTGCCTATCCTCAGGCCATCACTTGCACAACTAAATGGCCCATCAAGAAGCAGCTGAATAAAGTGGCATCCATACAATGCATGAAAAATGTTAAGTACTTTTAGGGATTAAAGCCATTTATATCTACCTCAGAAGGGAAAAAGGAGAGATAAACATACTACAAAAGCACGTATTACAAAGAAATAATGAAACTACCACATCCTACTGCAGCAACTGCCGCTAAAATGTCTGTGTCTACCAATAGCTAGCATGAACTGGTATCTAAGATACCAAAATTATTTCTAATTTTCCAGATAAGTGCCTCTTACTACATACTGACTTTATAAATGGCAGCAGCAATATCAAATATCTTTCATGCTCAGTCAACACCAAACTGCCATAGAAAAACTGTCGATTATAAACCGCAGCAATTCTCAAGCAAAGAAGGGGAAGCAATACAATACTTTATTAATGCTTTCATACAATCTGACCTGTTTTTAAAGGAAAAGATGGTGGAATGCTCTATTTTATTTTTTAATCATTCTGATGAAATGTCTTGTTTCCTAAAGCATTCAGAAATTATACTATTTTCTCCATGGTGAGGGAAAGGGTTTGAGTGCATACAAAAGTATCTGTAACACTGCTTTGTATTTAGACATTTCACTTACCAAAATGAAGAGGCAACCAGAGGCAAGTTTGGTGTGTTCAGGAATAGTAGAAAACACGGACAAAATCAAGCAACCAAACACAAGAAGAAAACTGAAAAAGAAAGAATATTAATAATTGTTACTATTTTTCAGAACCTTGACCCAGTTTCTATATTGATCCTATTTCACCAACATTAATAGAAGACAATCCACTAGAGGCACATGCTTCTGAGTAGCACTGGTAGAATTAATGGAGACAAACACAAGAAAGTAGTTTTTCTTGGAAAAACGACCCAATACACACACACACACAACTTTTGGTATTGCAATCCTGTACCTGTATATAGTCCAGGTACTCTTAGTGGTTTTAAAGAAAGATCACCAATATGAATGAAATCTCCCCAGTCCGAAAAATAATTTCTCCCACAAATGACCATGAATATCTTCTGAATAATCTTATTGAAGAGCAATATTGTATCTAAGATTTCATAAACAAACTACCTGAAGCTAAGAAATGGTTGAGTTATGGCATCGTAATAGTCTTCATTCTGGGAACAAACTTAATATCATACAATCCATTGAAGAAGTTAAAAAAAAGGAGTGAATTAACAAAGTCTTACACAAATCACACAATTATATTCCGGAAAACATGATCACATGTTGGAGACTGGAAGTTTCATGGTACTAATGGATACATGCAGTCAAAGCAAAGCACCAATACATGAGGAACAAGCAAACGCCGGGTATCACTGTAGGAGTTCTGGCATATCCCATGTCTGATCTTCACAGCACATGTGGTGTTTGGAGACATTAGCTTGCAGAGCTGGTATTGCTCTGAGGTCTATACTATGGATGATAAGGAATATCCATTCCTATTGTACTGCTTTACTCATAATAATAACACTATGCTGGTGAAACCACCTATGAACAGAATCAGAAAAGTAGTTCCACCCACAATACAATAAACTGACTTAGCAGCAGTCAGGCAGCACACCGAATGAGTGCAAGGCCATGTATGTTCTAAATTTTAAATTCTTGCACTAGATTTTGCAAGTCATAATAATTGATTCTATCACTGTCTTGCTAATTTCATTCTTAAAACACTTGTCAATCATGCTGGGCAATGAGTCAACCAACAAGGGCAGGCCTTTAGCTTTTGTCTGAATTACTGTGACTCTTCTTAGCAGATGGTCTAACCTGACATGAATAAATATGGTAAATAATGTAGCTATATATCTCCAAGAAATTGCAAACGGATCCTTCCTGATACAAAAGGGACTCAGATGTCTTCTAGGGACAAAGGAAAAAAACTAGAAACTACTGATCTATGCAGATGGTGAATATACTCTTCAGCATGTTTCCTTTAACCAACACAATAAATCTGAAGACAGAGAAAGCAGCTTTTCAGAAAAGTACTGAGGAGTATATGTGTGTTTCTGTTAGCCAAGCTGAACGTTCCTCAGCAGAGTGCTCTCATATGCTAAACTGTACTATCAAGAACATATCCAGCACACTGAGGAAAATGATTATTTTCCACTGTTCAGCATCTGAAAAAATACACTGGAAGTGCAGTTCCCGGTCTAAAGCTCCTCATCATGACAGAGAGATAGACATACTGAAGCAAGTTCTTCAGAGGGCCACCAAGGTAGTCAGGGCTAAAACTCATGACATATGAGCTGTGTGGTACAGTCAACACACTGGAGGGAAGGGTTGCCATCCAGAGAGACCCTGACAGGATTGAGAGGTGAGCCCAAGCAAACCTCACAAAGTTCAGCACAGCCAAATGCAAGGGCCTACACACAGGTTGGGGGGGACAATTGTGTCACAAGCACAAATTGGGCAATTAATGGAGCCTCCTTGCAGAGAGGGACTTGGAGGTCTTGGTAGATGCAAAACCTGAATATGAGCCAGCAATGTGTGCTCATGGACCAGAAAGCAAATTGCATCCTGGGCTGGATCAAAAGAAGCATGACCATCAGGTCAAAATAGGTAGTTCTCCCCCTCTACTTTCATGAGGCCTCACCCAGAATACTGTGTTCAGCTCTGTGGTCCCCAGCATAAGACAGACATAAAACTGCTCAAGCAAGTCCAGGAGGGCCACAAAGATGATCAGAGGGCTGGAGCACCTTCCCTGTGAGAACAGACAGAGACTCGGGGTTGTTCATCCTGGAGAAGAGAATGCTCTGGGAAGACCTTATAGCAGCCTTTCAGTACTTAAATAGGCCCTACTGGGAAGGGAGGAACTTTTTATCAGGTAGTGTAGTGATGGGACTAGGGGTAACTGCTCCAAACTGAAAGAGGGTAAATTTAGATTAGATATTAAGGAAGAAATACTTTATTGTGAAGATAGTGAGACACAGCAACACGCTGCCCAGAGAAGTTACAGAGGCTCCGTCCCTGGAAGTGTTCAAGGCCAGGCTGGATGGGGCTTTGAGCAATCTGATCTAGTGGGAGGTGTCACTGCCCATGGCCAGGGGCTTGGAACAAGATGATCTTTAAGGTGCCTTCCAACCCAATCCATCCTATGAATCTATGATTCCATGACAGAGGAGGGGCTAAGAAGAGCTGGAGGCTGAAACTTCTGACTGCTGTCCTCAGCTATCTAATCCTGGTTATAAAGAAGTCAGAGAGGACAGAATTTGCAGGAAAGAAAATTTTTTACGTATAAGAAAAAGTCATGATGAAGGTGGTTCAGCATCAGAACAAGCTGCCCAGCAAAGCTGTGAAATCTATCTCTGTGGAGACTTTAGAAGTTGGCTATAAAAGTCCCTGGTCTGACTTTGAAGTGCACTCTGCTTTGAGCAGGAGGTTGGACTAGATGAGCTGAAGATGCCTTTTCCAGCCTCAGTTCTTCTGTGATTTAACTACTGGAAACAAACATTACTATATTATTCCATTTGCCCTCACTTGTACTTCAGGAGCTAAAACTTCTTTCCCTTTTAACATATGGACTTCCCATACTACTGTGAAATATCCAGCACATTAGATAAAGGTGTAAGTCTATCTCCTCAGAATTTCTAGTAGAAAAATCAGAAAAAAATAAGACATTGGAGGCATATTTTGTAGCATATCACTTAAGTGCTGAGGAGAAGTTCTACTCTGAAAAATGATATCTGGTAGGAGCTTGTGTATAAGCTCTACTAACAACTGTAAAGAACAGTATCCAGGAAGGCAAAGGGCACATAACATAATCTCCAGCACATAACATTGGCAAGTTTATCTTCTAGATTAAAGAAAGATAAAGATCAGCATATGTATGACTAAAGTTTTCACAAAAGACTCATTCAAGAGACAAAAATCTACCTCATGAATGATTTTGCTTCCCTTCCTCCCATTTCTCTTAAAAAGGAAAATCTCCCAGAACATTACTAGTCATTTCAGGTGCTAGTGTCTTCAGAGACAGTGCTCCTAAAATCACATCCTACTGACATAGACATAAACATAAACATGGTTAAGACTTGCACAGAGGGCAAAATAATACTAAAAAGCAACTAAGAATTTATGGTAAGAAGTTGCAGTTTCCTTTTGCTGAATTTCTTTAGTCCTGAATCAGTTAAAATTATATTTTCTTACTTCCTTTGTGTTTAGGCATTAGAAACTGCTCTTTGTTGAGTTGTACTCCAGTACTACAAACTAAATTGGAGGCCCAGTTGTACTGGATTGTGTCCAAACACACAAGTTTTCACTTGGAAAAGACCTCATATAGCACAATTTTAGAAGACAATAGGAAAAAAAGAAAGTTTGTTGTTCCCGTATCACAGCTGGAGACCATGGCATAGAAGGGGTAAAAGACTTGCCTAAGGCTACCCAGAAAGTCTTTATATATAGAATAAACCTGAAACTGCCTGTATTTAGCCCATATCCAGGGTGAGACTCTAGCAGTTTCTCTATCACTTGATAACCTCTCTGCAGCCAAGAAGAGGGATCTGGAAAAGGATAGGAGACTCACTGATTGAAATAAAAATGGATATAATGAAAGAGCAGAACTAATATCAATGCCAGTAAAAAGTATACAAAATTATACTCAGCCCAGCAAACACACAGCAGTCACAACAAACAGGAAGGCAGTTCTCAGGAGCAGGAAGAGCAGCAGGATCAGGATATTCCAAAAGCAAATTTCCGCCTTTCTAATGAGTGTGGCGTTTATGGCATGGGGTACACCTGTAGCCAACTTGGGTCAGCTGTCCCGTCTCACTCCAAACTGCTAACAGCCTGCAGACCATGGCAGGTCTGTGAGTCTGTCCCAGAGAAACCAGGATGACCTTTTCAAGTCCCAGCCCAGTCCTGCAGTCACAAAACCATTCTCCACTCCCCCACTACTCACTTTTCACAGTTTCTCAGGACTGTGATTTAGAAGATCACTGTGAGCAAAGTGTTAATTCACAGTATATGGGAAAAGTGAGTCAGGAGAGGGAATCAGTACAGTTAAGCAGTATATTAATCAAAATAAAGGTAAATATTAAGAAATGCCAGGTGCAGTTTAGGTTAGCACCTGGTAGACGTAGTTCTGCACACTATCCATGAAAAGCAGACACAATCCTCACAGCAATTCATAAGAATAGTCTTGGAAAGATATTTTTCAAAACCTCTGTAAGCTTTTATTCACAATTTTCCCAGAAACTCTAAAAGGAACAGAACATTGTTATGAATTATTATTATTAAAGAAAAAAAGAAAAATCTTTGCATTTATCCATCCACATATTCAAATCTTACCCCTCTATTCCTCATTACTTCCTCCAACACCGAACACTTATTTTACTGCCATTCAGCATATTATGTCTAAAATTAGACTATAAGCACTTTAGGGGAGGAGAGAAACCCAGTCCTATTAGCCTTGCAAAAGTAAAAGCACACATTTATGTGTTGTGAAATAGAACACTAGCAAGAAAAGTAAAAGCATTAAGTGCTCTGGAATATTTTCTGTAGTTTATTTATCAATGACATGCTTTCTTTCACTCTAAACCGAGTCAGGATTCACTTTCTACCCATTTTAATGTAATCTGTTTACTCAGGCCATGCAATGAAAGCATCTCTCTTTTTCCCAAGCTAGAGCTGAATGTATGAAGGATGCAGCAACACCTTTCACCTGTCTGGATGTTAAACAAGGATCT